AGAACCACTAGACTGAGGAACAGCTTCTACCCTGAGGCTGTTAGACTCATGAATCTCTAACTAGAATAATCACTGTGAAAAACCACATCATGTTGCTGCTGATCTGTTTCATGTTGCTGCTGATCTGTTTCATGTTGCTGCTGATCTGTTTCAATGTTGATGTGTTCATGCGTGCACATCTGCTCACAGACTCATGTTCATGTTTGTGCTGATGTTCAATGTTTTATGTTATGAGTGCTTAGTGTATATTTAGTTGATGTTTTTCTTAGTTCATATCTTAGATGTTATTACTGTTTTTCTTATACATTTTATTGTTGGATGTAACTGGGACCCTGTGAACATAATTTCACTCCACCACATGTACCACATGAGGTGCGAATGACAATAAAGAAACTCTGACTCTCTGATTTTGTATTTTGCTTCGTGTGTTACCTGTTGTTCTGTCTGTACAGCACTTTGGTTGGCCTTGTAGCTGTTTTAAGTGCTTTATAAATAAAGTGGTATGGTACGGTAAACGTTGTCCTTCTGTTCAATTGTTGTCCTGCAACATGTTCTTTACAGTCATGACTGGTGGAACATCTAGTGACTCTGTTCTGTGTCTCATCAAATGTAAGTCACGGCTCAGGTGCTGCACGATTGATGCGTTTATGAAACAGTTTGAGAAAACAGAAACTAATAAAACTATCAAAGCTCATTAGATTATATTTTTTAATAATCTTACAGTGATTATAGCAGAATGGCTTTGTATCCATCATTTGTACAGCCTGATTGTATAAAGAGTCCATGTGTTTGGTTGCAGGTGGAGAGGCCTGAGCCCATGCGGTCATGCAATATGACATGTGACAAAAATCATAGAATGCATCTAAAGCAGGACCGCCTGACTTGATATATAGTTTATAATTAGTTTGAAACAATTAATATTACTTTGTATTGTTTTTAAATGTTTATCAGATTTAAGTTGAGGATTAGCACCAAGGCCAGGTATTTAAATTCTGCAGCAGAGAGAATGTTTTCATTTTGTAAATGAACATTAAATTTTTCTTTTAAATCAAGTTTTCTTATTGAGAAACACATGGAGACTATTTTTGAAATGTTCAGACCTACAGGTCCTTCTCAAAAAATGAGCATATTGTGATAAAGGTCATTATTTTCCATAATGTAATGATAAAAATGAAACTTTCTTATATTTCAGATTCATTGCACACCAACTGAAATATTTCAGGTCTTTAATTGTTTTAATACTGATGATTATGGCATACAGCTCATGAAAACCCAAAATGCCTGTCCCAAAAAATGAGCATATCATGAAAAGGTTCTCTAAACAACTATTAACCTAACCATCTGAATCAACGACGTAACTCTAAACACCTGCAAAAGATTCCTGAGGCTTTTAAAAACTCCCAGCCTTGTTCATTACTCAAAACCACAATCATGGGTAAGACTGCCGACCTGACTGCTGTCCAGAAGGCCATCATTGACACCCTCAAGCAAGAGGGTAAGACACAGAAAGAAATTGCTGAACCAATAGGCTGTTCCCAGAGTGCTGTATCAAGGCACCTCAGTGGGAAGAGGTGTGGGTTTGAATCCACCAGCAGTCACATGTCGAAGTGTCTCTGGGCAAGACACTGAAACCGTCAATGCCTCTGATGTGTGTCCCATCATTGTCTGAATGTGATAAAGTTCTGATTAGTCTCTTTAGAATGATTTGTTCCATCTTTGTAGAGATCTAGTATAGAGCTGTATGAAAGGATACATGAGGCACAGATTGTTGTAAAGAGCTTTGAGTATCTTGATGAGATAGAAAGGAGCTGTATAAGTACAGTCCATTTATCATACTGAATGACATTTGAAGGTCGATAAATACAGCACCCATCACATTACTCTTATCCAGGGACTTCTTTAAATGTTCAGTTAAACAGCAGTTTGTCATTTCAGTAGAATAACCTGGTCTGAACCCAAACTGCTGTGGGTGGAGTCTCTCTCTCTGTGTCTCTGACCCCAAGTTCGGTCACGCCCAAAGGTTGCACACGTCTGTATGACTGTGATGCTCCCAACACATTTTGTTTAATAAGTTTAGGACTTAAACAAAAGTCCAGGAGGATCGGGGTGCGGTGCGTGAGGAGGGGGTGATGGTGTTTCAGTTTTGGTGTCTCCCCCGATTGCAGTGAATTGGTCACTTGCAGCAGGTGAGCGTTCACCTGCAGTCTCTCTCTGCTGCTCAGGCACACAGTGAAGCAGACAGCAGGCTCCGCCCTGCTCTGCTCCGATTGGCTCAAAGTGTGTGTCTGGTTGTGTTTATTGGTTGAAGCAGCGTTAGTTTAATCCCTGCATCGTCAGAGTGGACGGTTTTAACCACAACAAGAAACCTTTTCTCCCCTTCCTCATTTTGACAGAAGACAGAAATCTGTCGGGGCGACGCAGAACTTTAATCCCTGCTTCAGTTTTCAGAGTGGAGCTCTTCCAGTCAGTTCCCTCTCCAGAACACTCAAACGAACTCGTGCAGCAGCAGCTGCAGCGTGTGTGGAAGCTCACCATGACCTTTCTGGCATTCTGCAGGTTCTTCTGTCGGACCTCGAACTGGGCGAAGAGCAGCCAGATCTTAGCGAAGGTGAACTTGAACAGAGAGCAGAACCAACGATCATGAGCAGGTGAACAGTGACACAGCAGAGATGGTACCTGTACCGGGTCTTTGAACAGTACCTTCTTGTGAGGGATGAGCTCCAGACACGCCTGGTAAACTTGCCTCGTCCTCTCTGGGTCCTGTTAGAGAAACTTTCTGGATTTTATTCATCTGGAACGGACAGATAGTCCCCAGTGATCGTGGGGAGGTTCAACAAAGACCCACCTTGGTCTCCAGCTCCTCGTACAGGGCGTAGTTGATCCACAGGTAGATGTAGCGTCTCCAGTGTCTCTTCTCCTGGATGGGGGGGATGTTGGAGATGGCTCGTTCGTAAACCTCCCTGACCGAGTCGGCGTTAGCGTCGCTCTCCACTAGCCGCAGGTAATCGAACCAGGCGTCGTAGTTGTGTGGGTTGGCCTGGAGCCAAACAGAAACACTCATGTTTGTTCCTTTAAACTGAAGGAATGCATATCACCCGCCAGCTGCACGTTGAAGCTTGAAGGACTCAAACGTTTGACCCAGAGTCGTACAGAGAGTTGCAGCACTCCCATAGACTTCTGTACAACGAATGAGATGTGGAAGTCACGTGGCTCATGCAGCAGCAAACAGCTGCTCACAGCTGCTCACAGCTGCAAACAGCTGCACACAGCTGCAAACAGCTGCAAACAGCTGCATACGGCTGCACACAGCTGCAAACAGCTGCAAACGGCTGCATACGGCTGCACACAGCTGCAAACAGCTGCACACGGCTGCACACAGCTGCACACAGCTGCACACATCTGCTAACAGCTGCACACAGCTGCATACGGCTGCAGACAGCTGCGCTGAACCCAGTTCAGTGTCCGTGTTTCAGACGTGTTTTCTCCGGTAAGTTGATGAAAATACTTCTTCCTCCACAGTGAAGTTATGTGACTGTTTCTCTGACTGCTCTGTAGCAGTTGATCAACATTAATACTTCATGTCACCAGTTTTAGTTAATGAAACATAGTTGTATTTTTACTGCAGCTGCTCTGACATCATGACGGTTTAAACAGCTTTATTTATAATTATAATTCAGCGTTTTAAAATATCCATTACAGCTTGGGTTAGGGTTAGTTGATAATTTTGTTAATTTTATGGTAACTCCAGTTACTGAACTCAACTAAAAAATATTTAGCCTTTTTTCTGAGAGATAGACGTGGTTAATTTAGTTAAAGTTATAGATCATTTGTCAAAGACTGCAGCATAAATTGTGACATTATCATTAAAGAAAAACGTGATTGTGGAGATGAGTCAATGTTTTCATGTTTTCCAGGTGAACCAGAGGAGAATGACTTCATGAACTGAATGTTGCATTCAAAGTATCACAAAGGTACAAGATCTCATTTTCTGTCTTCTATTAATCAATAACAGCTGAATCAAGATGTTTGAATAAAATCACTTTAACACCATAACCTTCACAAAGTTGGTATTTACTGCAGGACTGTTCATTGACATTAGTTTTATATTATTAGTTTAGTGTTTGGTAATCATGGGTCAAGTTGAGATGAGACTCTTTCAAGACAGAACAAGAAATAAGAATTATTACAAGAATATATCAGCATCAATAAACTGTAGGACAGTAACAAAACACTTATTAAACTATCACAGGTACATTGAGATGGAGCTGGAAGTTCTTCTTCATGCCAGTTGTCTTCATCTGATCTTTTGTAAAAATATGTCAATTTATTTTCATCAACACTTTTCTTTGCACGACTAATTATCTTATAATAAATTTTCTTGTCTGTGAGTTTCTTCTGTCCTGCTTATGGATTTTTTTGATCTAATTGTTCCTCAGGTTGTTCATCTCTGTTCCCTGACTGCCTGTTGATCCATCCTCCTGGTCCTGTTGATCCATCCTCCTGGTCCTGTTGATTCATCCTCCTGGTCCTGTTGATCCATCCTCCTGGTCCTGTTGATCCATCCTCCTGGTCCTGTTGATCCATCCTCCTGGTCCTGTTGATCCTGGATCATCAGATCCTGACATGTCCCCGTCCTCTGAGGACACATTTTCATCTGTCCCTCATCTCACTCGCCTCATTTCTGTTTCTTCCTCAGTCTCTGAAATTACAACGTCACTGTTAGAATGAAGATTAATGTTCAATAAAAATATGACATGTCTTATTTAACACTGTTCGTACCAAAGTTTAATTTAAATTTAATTGAAAATGTTTGTGCAGATTAAATTTACAGCTCTCACTTTGTGTTGTTGTGATGATGATGATGATGATGGTGCTGCTGCTGACTTGAGATGATGTCATTAATAAACAGTATAAATGGCTGTAAAAGTACTTGATTACAGCTTATTTTACATTTGACATAGTTTATAATAAATTGTTTGGTAATTTTGCACAATTAACACTTATTTTGTCGTCCGTTATGATTTTAACTAGAAACAGTTTCATTTCATTTCATACTGGGTTTTCCACATTGCAACTTTTACAATCCACCTCTGACCTCATCCAGACAGATTTGTTCCAACTCAAACTTGTCCTAAATGCAGATAAAACCAAAGGGATGCTTTGTTCAAACAGGAAGTTGGTCCCAGCAGTTCTTCCTCCGATTTTATCCTCAAATGGTGTCCCCATTGAGTTTGTTGATTCCTATAAATATTTGAGTATCTTGGTCGACTCACATCTCTCTTTTAAGCTCCATGTGGAAAACTTGGTAAAGAAACTGAAAGTTAAACTGGGTTTCTTTTTCAGAAACAGATCCTGTCTAACCCTGAACCCTGAGGAACACCTTGTATCTGTGACTTTCCTTCCCTCCATTGATTACGGTGATATTATTTACATGAACGCTCCTACAAGAACCCTGCAGATGTTGGATGCTGCAGATGTTGGATGCTGCAGATGTTGGATGCTGCAGATGTTGGACACTGCAGATGTTGGATGCTGCAGATGTTGGACGCTGCAGATGTTGGATGCTGTCTATCATGGTGCACTAAGATTCATAACTGGCTGCAACTACCGTACCCACCACTGCACCCAGTATTCACTGGTTAACTGGTCACCATTAACTTCACACAGACTCTCTCACTGGTACATTTTCATCTTTAAATCACTTCCTGGTCTGCTGCCTTCATACATCTCCTCCTACATGTCTCTGTGTGACATGCTACCTGTTAGCTGCTAGCTAGCTTACTTTACAATCAGAGGCTGTTTCCTTACACAGTTACAGAATGGTAAATTGATAATGATGGATAATGTCACCACAGCTAACACTTAAATCTGATTCAAACGGATCTGTTTCAATGTTGCTGCTGATCTGTTTCATGTTGCTGCTGATCTGTTTCAATGTTGCTGCTGATCTGTTTCATGTTGCTGCTGATCTGTTTCAATGTTGATGTGTTCATGCGTGCACATCTGCTCACAGACTCATGTTCATGTTTGTGCTGATGTTCAATGTTTTATGTTATGAGTGCTTAGTGTATATTTAGTTGATGTTTTTCTTAGTTCATATCTTAGATGTTATTACTGGTTTTCTTATACATTTTATTGTTGGATGTAACTGGGACCTTGTGTACATAGTTTCGCTCCACCACATGTACCACATGAGGTGCGAATGACAATAAAGAAACTCTGACTCTGACTTAAATACTGTTTTTATTAACGTTAATATAGCTAGTAGACCTTTAAACGTTAGAGCACTGACAGCCCGTGTTGTGTATTTTAGCTACTGTGGCTAAAGTTGCTGCAATGATGGATAACATTACCACAGCTGACAAACACATAAATACTGTTTTTATTAACCTTACCTTGTGCTATATCTTGTAATATAACCTCTGTAAATAAAGGTTGATGTATGAAATTCCGTGAAGTTTCCAGACAGGTCTCCCAAGGGAGAATAGACCCGGAAGTACTGATCCACTGCGTCGAGTCAGAAAGGAAGTTGTCCGACGTCATGTGAAAAGGGCCTATTTAAAGTGGTTCCCACCGAGTCAACAAAGACCAGTCTGCATCTAAACGTGTTCAGCTGGAGCACGCAGCCGGGGGGGGGGGCGGGTTTGTCAGTGAGGGAGGGGGTGAACGGCTGCACACTGGGAGAAAAACTGCTGGATTTATACATTTAAGCAGAGTATAAGACTATACATCGTTTGATATGGCGTTTTAAATGATCTCGATATTTTTAAACTAATCAAACATTAAAACTTTTAGTGTCCACGGCAGCCTCTGGACGTCATTACCCAGAATGCACTGCACCGGTACAGTAACGGAGCAATAAATGAAAAGTTTCACCAACAACTTTGAGTGGAATAAAGAAATAACAAGCGGTTGATGGAAGCAGAGACAAACGTCCAGCTTTAAGAGTAACGAGGAGGAAAATGTGCACGTATTCAAAGAGCTGCAGAAACCTGGTTTCATGTCAGTTTGAGACCAAGTCACGCTGACAAACCCTCATAGTTTGTGTTGGGGATGACTCTCAGGTACTACCCATCACTGTTCAAGTGACTGAGGTGGAGAATTTGAGTGTTGGCTGAAGTGGATGTTACCTTCACTTCTTCTTCGTACTGGAACCTCCGTTTGCTGACGATGACGTCCTCGATACCTCTGCGGTCCCCGAACTTCTTCTCGAACATGGTGTAGTTCTTAAAGAGCTCCTGCGCCTGATGTTTGGGGATTCTGTCCAAAGCGTATTTATAAATGACCCGAACTCGTTCAAACTGTGAAGGAAGGAAAACGTCATGAGGGGATCTTTCAGAGCTCCCTTCGATCTAAAGATGCTCCTGGCAGCACTCGCCTCTTTCTGCGTCTCCTCGAACCTGGCGAAGGCCACAAAGAGGTTCTCGTTCATGTGCTCCTCTCCGAAGAACTCCACGGCACGCTCGTACACCTTCCTGCTGTGGGCGATGTAGCCGTGCTTCTCCTCGAAGCGAGCGTATTTGATCCAGTTCTTCACTTCAGGATGAACGATGACGAGTGCAGAGAAGTTAAAGAAAGCAGAGAAAGCTCCTGCCAGGAGCCACTTTGTGTCTACAGACGTTAAAAACTTTATTCCAGTCCAACGGCGTTCTAGAGTTTATATAAACTGTGGTTCTGACTGGACCAGCTGAAGGTCTGTCCAAGGTTTTTTTACACCAAACGTGTCTGAAACAGCCGTCAGGATCTGGTTTACATTTACAATGTGGTCCCAGACGGACGGTCCAATAACTGAACAAGACACAGAACCTGCTGTTCACTTCCTGTTTGGACCTCCAGAACGGTCCGGTCCAGAACACGTCTTCCCGATCCTCTGTTCGAACGTCTGACATCAAACATTCAAACCTCAGCAGACCTCGAGAGCTGTGGAGAGTTCAGGAACCACCTGGACGGGGCAGAACCCAGCAACTGCTGGAAACTCATGTACAGTAGTCCCTCGTTTATCGCAGGGATCCGGACCCTGAAGCCCCGCAATAAATTACAAACCGCCAAGTAAGAATTACAAGTACAAGTAGTATATTTTAGTGTATGTATATATATTTACGGCAAAACACCGTGCACGGCCTAAATACAGTTTTAAAGCCGTGCACGCAGAAATGAGCTTCCATGAAGTGGCTGCACGGCTGGTTGCTCACTCAGCATTCAGTGACGCTGCAGCTGGAAGTTCCAGCGACAGCAGACTCTGAGGGTCTACCTTGTGTTCTGACTTAACGTTCTCCTTCCTGCAGGAGAAGACCTTCGTCCCTCCTTCTCTTTGTGCTCCTCACGCTCAGTGACCCATGCCTAACCTTGTTCTTCCACAAACTGAAGGATATATCGTTCGTAAATGGTGCGGGCTTTGTCCACCTCCTTGTAGCGCAGCTCAAAGTTGATGTAGGAGTGCCAGGCCTGTTCCTCAGGCTCCCACTCCATCCAGCGTTCAAACGCCTGTCTGCAGCCCGCCACGTTCCCCAGCATCTCCTCCATGTACGTGTACTTGTACCTGAAGAGGTGCCGTACAATCACACAACCATGAGGTCTCTCTGATTTAAACTGGGCTCAAACGTTCTTTAGTCCTAAAAGGAGTTTTTATGGCTCCAACACATCAGAGGTCGTCTCCCCTTCAGCTATTTAACAGAGAACCCCTGCAGCCACTCAGAATGAAGAAAAACATTTAAATAGCTAAAGATATGTTCAATCTGGACCATCAAAGGTCCGCCCTACCAGAACTGGTTGACCCGGGGCAGGATGGTGATGGCTCGGTCCCAGATGTTGCGAGCGTGGTTCACCTGGCGGCTCTTCATCTCCATCTCGGCATACTTCAGCCACAGAGTGATGTTCCGGTGGTCCACATCCAGCGCTCGCTCGTAAATGGACCGAGCCCTGAAAGCAGAGACGTGTGAGGGCAAAACACGAGCTAAAGGTAGCTAAACGTTTACTTTGAACTTAAACTTGGACCTGAAGAATGAACTTTAATGGCAGAAGCAGCTAGGATGCTCCCACGCTCTTAATTTATCCACCTTCTTCCTGGGGCCTCTGCTGTTTAAATGATTCTGGTCCAACTTCCTGTCAGACAGGAAGTAGCAGTCAGCATTGGCTAGCCATGGTAGCAAGAGCACGGAGCGCGGTTTATTTGAAAGTAATTTATATTCACTTTATCAGATAAAACTCTGTTTTTGTTTTGTTACATTTATTTAACATACATAAAGTTTACTAAAATAGCCGTGCTGCGTTCAGGTACCTGTTGTGTTCAGGGCTGCAGAACAACCAGACCAAACTAAATCAGTGTCTACAACAACAGACTTTGAACATGTTGTTCATCTCTTCACCGTCAGAAGAACTGAGTCAGTGAAGGAGCTAAATATGCTAGTTGATGTAGCTAAATATGCTAGTAGATGCAGC